GGTCTATGTAAGATATTTGGTGAAAAACTTCATGTATGGTATTGATACCACCAAGGATAAATTACGTGGCCAAAGTACCATTACGACAGCGCCACCTTAGAACAAAATTGGTTTTGACCCTGGTTGACCACTTGAATCAAAATTACATAATATTGAAAGTTAGAGAGGAAGCGTACACCAAAGGTAAACGGAATACATAATCTACATTATCTCACTTTGCTTAATTCAAATGCTCTGTTTTTCACTTAATACTTAGAGATGTGTGATGGATGCGGTCTTGGTGGAGTTTTAGATATAGATATAGTTGGATAAGAGTCTATAGATACAACGACGTAACGCCTATATGCAAGCATGCCATATATAATCAATTATAAAAACTTAAATTTCATTGATACAAAACTGTAATTTGTTCACCACACATATGCTATATTTTCTAGAGAGATGACACTAGTGAAGTTATGGATCCTGGTCCTTTGTTCCTTGTAATCACATCCGCGATCAAACTCTTTTTCTATTCTTTACAATCTGAAACATTTTGTTTATTTTCTTTCAATCATCAATAACAACCACACTATTCATTAATCCTTGTAACTGGCAAGGCTTGTAAGACTCACAATATCACTTTCCAAGTTTTGGACCAAGAAGAAGTTATCTAATTGTGTGCAAGTGATGTTCGTTGACTCTAGTCAAGTGCTCCATCAAATTGATAAAATTAGTTCTTCACCGAGGGAAATACTTGTACTGCAAACCCTTGCCCTTAAGGGACCATCAACTTTGTCCACAAGGCATAAAGATTAGCAGGGAATATCAGTACCAATGTTCTACCAATGTCAGGTCATGTTGTTGATATTAATTCTTTTAGCGGTTGCATATAGCTTTCTGAAGTGCTTCAGTGATCATCCCAGGTGCAATGGCAGCATAACCGACTGCAAACTGCAATAATCCAACAATGATTGGTAACTGAAAGGATAATCATGGAGCCTTAATTGATGCTACATTATATAAATTATCAGATAAACCTTAGAAGTTGGTGCGATCGAGACCTGCTGAGTAGCTCGTATCTTGAGATCAAGATGACCTTCTGGTGTGGATGCGTGCATAGAGACGATGTCCAGGCGGAGGCTCTTGATAACGTCGAACACCCGTGTCATCAACAACTCCTTCCATCGGCACTGAACCTCCAAGAGCACCTCCTTCTCCATCACGGTCACATTAACGACATTGTTTGGGCAATCGTCATCCTCCCTCTCCATCTCTAGCGCCTTCCTCTTGGATCTAGTTGATAGCTTGATCTTCTTCTTGCCGACAACCTCATGGAGCCCTTGTCCTGGTGCTTCGTTCGGGCGCAATGATGGTGTCCTGCTAGATTGTAGCTCTTCTACCCTCTGTTCTAGCTCTCTGAGATAAGTTATAGTTTCTGCAAGGATGGATGCTTTGTCCATCTGCAAACCAAAAAAAAGCTATGAAAAACAATGTCCGCAATTTGTTAACAAGCAATGGATGTTAGATATTACTACCTTGTTAATGGACGGGATCATTGACTTGAGAACTAGGAACATATCATTGAGCTTCTCCCGACGCCTTCTTTCCGACAGGACATGTGTCTTGATGTTACTTTCTTGAGGTCTCGCTATCCATGCACCACCGGCTACAGCTTTCTTCAACAACTTTTGTGACTCCCCGGTGACCCGCGCAACCACGTGTTCCCAGTCAGATGACCTCTTCCACACCGTAAAACATGATGGATGAGAGCCTTTAACAAAGCTACTTAAAGTGATGACGGCATCGTCAATGCTTGGTGCATCCATGTCTGGTGCCATTTCCAAGGAAGACATGTACTCAAATGACCTTTCCATGACCCAGTTGTCCTCAAGAGAACGCATGTCCAACTCCTTGATGAGGCCATAGAACTTGTCCACTTCCTCAGAGACATGATCGAGGTTGATGTCGGACATGCACTCGACCTCCCCAAGCTTAGAGATCATCCCATCGACGACATTGTGATCGAGGTCTTCTAACATGACGATGTCTACCTCCCCGTTCCCTGTTTCGTTTGTCGATGGACTAGAGCTTGGCACCTCAGACTCCGAGCATGCCGAGAAGGGTAGCTCCCAGAAAGATGTGCCGATCTGGTTCACCATGTTCGGGTCCTCCAATACCTAGCAAATCCATTGATATATCCTTGTCAGTACCAATTCATTAATCTGGATGAGAGGGGGGGGGGGGAATAGTGTTCTAAAGTTGATGAGGTAGCTTGTCTTAACCTTGTGCACAAAACACAAACATTTTCTACACCAATCATGACAGGAAAAAAAATGAACCTTAATATAGTCTACAAAGTAAAGTACATGTGAAGGATCATTGCTGACAAGTGTCCGGATCTTTCAAAATGACATGTATCTCACATGGGTGGGAAAAAACATGTACTAGAGTAGTGACCTAAACGGTCTTATATTTGTTTACAGAGGAAGTAGTATGTTATAGGTGGGTGTTTCTTTCTGTTTGCTGACAGGTTAACACATCATTGTGGTTGTACATAAGACCCATATATGGTAGTGAGATATATTGCATACGAGCTTTCAAACATCATCCACTTGAGGTATCATCATTGATAGGTGAAGTGATTCACCTGCCTGTGATGATCCTATTGCTCATACAAAGCTAAAGATATTGCTCATACAAAGCTAAAAATAACCCTTCATTCTAGCCTGGTGTCCCATCATATTTTAGTCTCAAACTGCCGCCCACATTGATGGAATCATCCACATTTAGGCCGTGTAATTTTCCATCCCTCAACTAATCGTTTCATTTGTAAAACATATTTTTATATAGAGCAATGCTACACTTACAAAGGAGTCTACATAAGTCTTACGTGATTATGCAGATGGCAAATTGTGATTGGGATGGGGAAAGAAGGAGCCCACCCCACCCGAAATTCAGGGGGGTAGTTAGTTCATTAGGAATTTTAACGTTCGTAGCTGTTAGTAGATGTAGGATTTTCGTTTTATATAATATTATTTGATATTAATAATGCATTTTTCTCTATACACTTGATTATTAAACAAATTAACTTTTGAAAATAAAAAAAATCTACACAAGCTAATTTGGAACGGTGGGAGTACCAGAAATTGAAACCGTCACTACTAAAAAAGTTTGCGTGCACCCATCGGCAAAACTAAAGGAAATAATATGTTGATAGTTACTCAAAAATTAAAGTGAAAATCATTCACACACAAAACATAAAGCGAAAATGAAATGCCCTCACCAAATCCGACGTCCCGAGCTCGAGCACACCACCCATGAAGGGAATGCAAACAACTGTCTGAAAAATGTGACCCAGCTGGAGATCAGAGATCTAGAAGGCACACACGTACTTAAGAAAAGCATATATGATAGATGCATATATGGCGATCGAAGCATGTGAAGTAATAAAGGCATGTGCTCACCTGAATAGGCGCGGTCTGATTTAACCGTCCGGTAGCATGGGCAAGCATCATGGTGTTAGTTAACGGCCGAAAGATCTATGCCTAGCTTGAGATAAATATGTAAGATACCTTTGCTAAGCGAGCACGCTGGAAAGTTTTGGTGTCTGCGTACTGAGCGTTGTACAATCAAACATGTTCATTGCTCGCAAAGCTCTTGCCTGGCAACCTGAAAATAACAAAGTAAATATATCAATTAGCAGTTGCGATTCATCGGGCAATTGAATTTTTTAATCTTTTTTGCCCGGGGGTACAATAAGAAGGTTTCCACATGCTCATGAGAATTTTTCCCTTCATTGAACATATACCCATTTTGTATTCCTTAGATTTTTTTTCTATTTTGCATGAAAGAGGGCAGCGCAACAATGAGCTCGAGACGAGAACGCCATGGCTGGCCATGGCGTCGCGGGCTTGGGCTTGTCAGAACTTCGCCCGAGGTGGGCAACGTGCATCGCTGCAGCGTCGCCATAGGTGAGGACGAGGGTCCGTAGACAGTGCCCGAGCACGCTGACTAGGGCTTCCTAGGACCTCGTCTGAGACGTACGGTGAAGAGCCTTGACTGGTTTAGGTTGGGAGGGAGGGAGTGAACATGAAACGGAGTCATCGGATTTCATACTAATGGCTCAAAAAACTGATAGAATGTGTGGCCCCATACTAACTTATACTTGAAGAACAAACACTTCAGTAAGAACGTTTTCACTCTACAGTCAAAAACAGTTTCTTTCCCCCTTTTTTCCAAGCCATGCCCACCTCTCTCACTTTGGTTCTCTATTGTTTCTTTTATAATCTTAACCGATGCCACATAAAATAAAACCAACATAAATAGAGTAACTTGGAATAATCTAAACCGAACCGGGATTTTCCAAAATCACGTCATCTTGTGTTACCTCAATCCGATCAAAATAAATCTTACCAAAATCTCAACTAAATCAAAACTTTTCTTACCTTTCCCTATTGTCCATACCCAAATGAAATCAAATCATACCTAAACCTCAACTAAATAAAAAATTTCCTTGTCTTTCCCTACCCATACTGAAATATATATAAGTTAAATCTTACCAAAATCTAGAATATGGTGGGTGTAAGGTATATGTCAGAAAAGATTAATGTCAAGCCACTAGAATAGGTATGCCCCCAATTGCAACGCACGAACAATTAGCTGGTCGGAATAGTTGTGTACGTACCCTTGACCAGGCCGGAAGGCGTAAGTCATGCTCAGCGTGTAGAACCACTCGGCTTCCCCGAGATCCTCTGGCGACAGTGAGGCAGCGGGACGCTTCGCACGGTGGTCCGCTTTGCCGGACAAGAGCGACTCATAGAGCTCCCTCAGTTGCTCGCTTCTCTGTAGGAAGAGCTCGTCGGCGGTAAGCTCTGTCATGGTCGAGCTAATGATCTTCCTTGTCTTTACCTCGCCGTTATAGAACCCATTCTTTCATGTCAGAACTCTACAAAAACAAAGCGACAGGTTCCGGACATGAAAAGTACAAACTTTTCGAATTTGCTTCAAGAAAGTACAAACTTGTGACCAGCTATGTATAGGTATGTTACTGGTTTATTACCCAGGTGGGCGCAGGCCGGTGGACAAGGACCAGAAAATGGCGTAAGTCCAGTTGATGCTCCTCACAGCAGCGGCGAGCTGGTAGCTGAGCTGCTTCCCGGACGGCGGTTCCTGACCGGGACAGGGAGGAGCAGACGATAGCGCCATTGATTACCACACTAGCTAGCTGTTTCCTATACCTATGCATTGCATGCGCAGGTGAGCAAACAAATTAAGGTAGCCAAGAAGTGGGAAACCGAATATTAATCTGCCTTCCAACTGAAACAGAATTACTAATAAGGACAATTACTAATGCTTACTTGAGCTCTTGGTGTGTGTGCAGAGCAAGAGGAGCCGTACGTTTCTGCTCCTGTTAGAGAGGAAGATATGGATCTGCTATATACGAAAACGGGCCAAGAATCCAAGGCAAGTTATATAGAGTCTCGGAGGTCCATATTAGCCCCAGCCCCAGCTAGCACCTCTTGTTTGCATTGTAAACTTTCCTCCTTTGTCTCTAAGCGCATAGCAACACATGTGATTGTTAGATTATACCACTGATTTCAGCACAGCATGGAGCATGCATAAGCAGCCAAACGTGCCCAAATTGGGAGGCCGTAGAAGCTAGCAACGGAAATCAAAGATGAAAACTACGGATTTGTCGGTATCAGCAACACATTTGCATCGATGATAAATGCTGGTATGGTGAGTCATAGAAATGAGTGGGTGGTGGGAGCAAAGGACAAAGGGAGCCTTCTAGCGCCGGGGACCTCTCCGTCGACTAGCGCCTTTGCTCTCACCAGATATGAGATATGATTTGCTCTCGATAGAAACGGAATGCCTTACTGTCAACAACAGGAATGGCTTTTTACAAGGCCACCAGGTGAGAATCGCCATGCACAGGACACGGAGTGCGTAGGGTAGCACTCGACGGTGATGCTCTTTGCCATAGCTACCGTTGTACTCGCTCCGTTTCAAAATAAGTGTCTTGAGCTCAGTACAAATTTGTACTAGAGCTAGTACAAAGTTAAGACACTTATTTTGAGACGGAGGGAGTAGAAAACTAATGAACCGTCAATGATCCATCGGGGTCCGGGGACAGGGACAAAAACAAGGAGGCCACGCTTGTTAAGATCCATGCCTTGACGCATCATTTTCTTTCTAGGCGGTACACATGTGTTGACGGGTAATATACACCTGTAAAATCTGCGTATAAACTTCAACCATCGAAGCAGGGCCAGTGGTGGAGCCAGCGTTGAACCATTGGGTTCACATGAACCCAATGAAATTCGCTACCTACGTGCATGTCATGTACCACATATAAGGCCTGACCCCAATAAAAAATCAAGCCTGACCCCATCAAGCTGCTAACGCCTTATGATTAGACAAATAAAAAGGCCCAAAAGCCCAGGCATCTTCGTTACTAGTACAAGATCAATACATGTACGACATCTAAAAAAAGAAGATCAATCAATACCTGTACGAGGAATACACGGACGGCAGCCGCACACCTCTTCGCTTTCCAACTCGCCTCGCCTCTCCCTCCGCCGTCTCGCCCCGTTTTTGTTAGGCCCGTCGCTTCCGTCCTCATCTCGACGCCGACGCCCGACGGTAAATAGCGTAGAAGCGCTCAACTGCAGTCTAATTCGAGGCAGTAATATCACCTCCACATCTCTTCCCTCTGCTACCCAATCTAAATCTAATAGCCTTTTGCCCTAATTTTCTAATTCTTATTTTCATGGACTTTCATTGATGCAGGCTATGGAAAGATATTTTTCAAAGAAGAGAAGTCGATCATCTGATCCAGATAATGACGCGGGGACATCGAGGACACCCGTCAGATGTAAGCAAACTGCATCAAATGTCGCTGCCAGTAGTCTCCCAAAGCCTTCTGTCCACAAAGAGATTAATTTAGATGAATTGCCCTACGATCCGGCTGATCGGAAGAGAATTTCGGAGTACACAAGAAATCCTAAGAAGCAAGATGAGATTAGGCCACGATACTTAACAAGGGGACCTTACAAGCCTCCATTTACTTTTGTTTATCCACACAGGGACATTGGAGATACTCAACGAAGATTTAATCCAGACTGGTTTAAAGATTATGGTCGTTGGCTTGAGTATAGTGACAAGGAGCATAAGGCCTTTTGTTTGTGTTGTTATCTTTTCAGAGATAATAATGAGGGACAAGCTGGGAGTGATGCATTTGGAATTAATGGTTGGAACGGTTGGAACAAGAAAAGTAGGCTGGATACCCATGAGGGTAAAGGTAATGTTAATAGCTTTCATAATGTAGCAGTAAAACGGTGTGATGCTTTGATGAATCAAGATCAATCAATTCTGGTAGCTCTCGATAAGCAAACTGATCTTACAAAAAAGCAAAATCGAATTCGGCTTAATGCTTCAATTGATTCTGTTAGATACTTGTTGCATCAAGGCTTAGCTTTCCGAGGCCATGACGAAACAGAAGAGTCAAAAAAATAAGGGAAACTTTCGAGAGTTGGTAAAAACTTTGGCAAATCAAAATGATGATATACGGAAGGTAGTTCTTGAGAATGCTCCACAAAATTGCAAGTGGGTATGTGGAGATATTCAGAAGGAAATTGCGAACTATTTTGCCAAGGTAACATCATCATTAAATTATATTTCCTACTATTTTTGTTGTGTTCCAATTTACACTAATCTCTAATGATCCCCTTATTCTGTTGCACAGATAACTTTGAATTCTATTATTGAAGAAATTGGAGGTGATGTGTTTAGTTTGTTGATTGATGAAGCTGCTGATGTGTCTGACAAAGAGCAAATGGCAGTTGTTTTGAGATATCTTAGCAAGCGTGGATTTATCATTGAACGGTTAGTTGGAGTGGTACATGTGCAAGAAACATCGGCAATATGTCTTCAGGCTGCACTTCAAAAATTATTCACCGATCTTGGTTTAAGCATAAAACAAGTCAGATGACAATGTTATGACAGGGCTAGCAATATGCGCGGCGAGTTCAATGGCTTGAAAGCAAAGATTTTGCAAGAGAATAAGTCAGCCTATTATGTGCATTGTTTTGCTCACCAACTCCAGTTGGTTATTGTAGCAGTAGCAAAGAAGCATGAAGATATTTCAGATTTTTTCTACATGATCTCCATTTTATTTAATGTGGTTGGAGCTTCTTGCAAAAGAAAGGACATGATTAGAGAGAAACATCGAGAGGATGTAATAAAAGCCATAGGTAGTGGGCAGATTAGCACTGGCAGAGGGTTAAATCAAGATCAAACTCTTCAGAGAGCTGGTGACACTCGTTGGGGCTCACACTACAGAACTCTCTCAAGTCTAGTGAAGTTGTTCCCTGCAGTCATGTCTGTTCTGAAATATGTGGAGAAAGAAGGTAAAAATGAAAAGAAAAGTCAGGCGCGTGGTCTTGTAGCATATTTTGAGACCTTTGATTTTGTGTTTTATTTGCACATGATGCTGCATATATTAGGAAATGCA